GACCCCACTCAAATAATCCCCCAAAACCTTAAAAACCGATTCATACCTATTCCTTTTAGCACCTCATTGTTGCTGGCTTTCAAACATTTCTCAGGATTCTTTATCTTCATGCTCTGTTTTTCTTGCCTGTGACTGAAGCACTTGCCATTCTTCTTTTCTGCTGCGTCCTATGATCCGTAACTACTAACGTCATAATTAGCAACACAGTCCATCCGATGTCATTTAAAAAAAAAAAAGAAAGGAAAAAAAGAAAAAAGACAGCTGTTTGGATTATTCCACTCATTTCAGTTCAGACACACTGTTCAACAGACAACACGCCTCCAAACACTGTCCACTCATGTCTGATAAATCATTCCCATCTGTATGGTTTGCTTCATTTTAGCCAATCCCATCAATACCCCTTGCTGCAAAGCCCGCCCCTCCCAACACGACAGATTCACAGAAAGCGGATGGAGACAGCAAAGCCAAAGGTAACACACTACAAACATACTTCAGGTGCATTAGTGTAATTTCTGTCACCAGTCTATAGATCTGTATGAGAGTGATGTTTGTCTTTTTGTTTATCTTGTTGTGAGATTTATTGATTTTAAATACTGAAAACCTTGGTTCAAAAGTGTCTACAGAGTGGAATTGCAAGCCTTAAAATGTGTGATCTACATGCATCCCTTTTCTGCTAAGGGGTATTGATTATGGAGGAGTATGGAGCAGCACTGACCAATTAGCTGCCACCATGCAAAAAAAAGAGTCACCTGTACGCGTTTATATTAATGAACCTAAATGAAGCATTAGTGCATTACTGGTGATGTTGTTAAAGCGTTCAGCATATCTGTGAGCTACTGGTATGTTGGTGGATCTGATGCAGCTTTGCATTTGTTGACAAGATGTAGTTGGAACTATTTCCCACATGCAGTAACCCTCTGTAGATTATTTCAGAAAATTAACAAGCAGCAAACCTGCAACAAATCTGGTAGAGGTGAGTTTGTTTCTCGGTGGCAGTGGGTTCTTAACTTTCTACGAAAAGGACTGTGTGAAATGAATTTAAGTGTACATCATTAAGCCCAGAGTAAACCTGGCCACGCGCAGTACCTGATAGATGTATTAGTCTGCCCCCCAGTATAGGATTTAGGCCACAGCTGTCCCACATTAACAGTATTGGTAAGAAATCCTTTTTATGCTACTGTCATGGTCAATCTGCCAGTATGCACAGGTGCTTTCATCTGAATTTTTTTAATGCTAAAATATAATAATAAGTATTATTATTATCCATGAATTTACAGAGTAAATAATGAAGCACATGATTATTTTTTGATTCAAATGTCAAATTAGTTATTTGCTTGCATTCTTCAACAGAAAGTAAGCCTTTTTGTTTGAATATTCTGTTTGATTAAATGTACTGAAGCTTTAAGTACTAGACACAGAAGGATCAGATCAGTTGTCGGTTCATATAACAATAAGACAATGACCCAAGCAGGCTTCAAAGCTGTGCAGAGACCCAGAAGAAGGAATCTGGAGTGCTGGAACTGATGGGCCAACCAGGTCAAAGTCTGGACTTGAGTCCTATTAAACAGATTTCGAATTTAGTGGATTCAAAGATAATCAGACAGCTAGCCTATGGGAACTAATAAAAGAAACTGTCAAAGTGCATAAAAACAATGCCAGAATACCAGATGTTATCAAGGCCAGAGGAGGTTGTATGAAAATATTTCTATGGTCACACTGTGTGAATAAGGACCATGTTAATTGCGCAAGAATGTCAAAATAGTGTTTATAGTTTTAAACACGTTTTTGGCATTTTTCTAAAATATTTGTGTGTCTAATAAACGTGTTAAATGGCAAATAGTCATGTTGTTTTATAGAGCTCAAAGCACATTCTATAACATTCATAAGCACTTTTTCTACATGTCAGTGCTTTCTGTCCAACGTTCACACATTTACACTTGGTAGTTTAAGAATATAATCCACCCACTGTTATCATCTTCAATGCCCTGTACCAACATAGAGCAGAGCAGCTATCTGAATACTACTCCAACAGAGGTCGATTATCTTGTTAATAATTTTACCTCCTCACTACGTAC